TGGACACAATACTCGAGGTGTGGCCTCCCCAGTGCTGAGTACAGGGGCACAATCACCTCCCTACTTCTGCTGGTCACGCTATTTTTGATCATCAATGTGGCACCATCACCGCCCTGGCACCGTCCCCTCCCGCCGCCGGTGACACTGGTACTCACTGTGGGGTCAATTTTGGTAAGGGCCGGCCGAAGGCGACGACGGGCAGGTAGGGGGTGATGAGCAAACTTTCCACTGTGGGAGAGACACCGGAGTGTTACACACACCCCCTGCTGCAGGCAGGGCTCCCGCTTGCCCCCCAGCACCCCCCAAACTGCCCCCCAGCACCCCCACCACCAAACCAAAGGCACTCACCGTCATCTGGCTCAGGGAAAAATGAGGTAACTTCAGGCTCCGACTCCTGAATCCCTTTCCTTTTGTACATTCGGAGCTGCAGCCGCTGGAGAATTCGCTGTTCCCTGATCCGCTGGATGTCCCACCTGGAAAAACGGGGGGCACCAGGCACTGAGAATCCATAGGCAGGGAGGGGGCACACACCTCCACCCCCCCCGGGGAGCTCAGGGAGCTCCAGCGATGTGGGACCATCCCTCCTCCAGCAGAGTCTCTGCCTCCCATCCCTGCTGCTGCCTGCATCCCGGGATGATTGGATCCTGTGTCCCCCCCTCCCCGAGGTGACACCCCAGGGCCCTTCCCTGGGGACCACCCGCTCTGCTGGGCATCTGTTGTGGTTTTGGCCAAATTTACCACCCCCGGACCCCCATCACCCTCTTTGCTCCCACCTTTTCCTTCGTTTCTCATCCAGCTCCAGCTTCGCGTGCCGTTTGGAAAAGACGCTGTCGTCCAGGTTCTGCAGGGACACAGAGGGATGAGCGCGTCCATCCGGCACCGGGAGCCGGCAACCGGGGCCCTTCGCCCCCACCCCAGCCCTCCAACTGGAGCCGGGACCTCCCACACCGTTTACACCAGACACGGGGACAAGATGAACACCCCAAATCTGCTCCAGGAAGGAGCCTACGGCAATCCCAGCTCCGATGGTGGCCATGGCACACGTACCTCCAGGATGTCCGAGGGGTTGGGGTCTCTCAGGGGCTCCACGACATGGTCCCTCCAAGACGGAACTGCGGGGTGAGAGGACAGGCTGTTACCCCGAGCTCCAACCCCATCCCCACCTCCCCTTCCCTACCCCGTCCCTCCCTTGTGGGGCACAGACCCCTCCCCAGACCCCCATCCTGAACTGGGCTGGGGGGGTCCTGGGGGAGGCAGAGCCAGGAGGGTGAGCTCATCGCCATCCCCTCAGCCAAGGGCAGAAGGAAACCTGCCCCGCTCCCAGAGGAGACGTGCTGAGCTCCCCCCACGCCAGGACCCTCGGCATCCCACAGCCATCGCCGCGGGACCCCCGGAGGAGGCCAACCGGGGAAGGGGCAACTGGTTGGACTGGTACCAGCTGGAAGGAACCCGTGCGGCGCAGCAGCGGCACAAGCCGGAGACGCGTTTCCCAACCGCCAACGGGAAATTGCTTCACCCCTTGCCCAAACGGGCGCCGAGGGCTGCTGGGCAAACCGGGTGGCTAACGGCGAGCGGGGCCGGGTAGCCCTGCCCGGTGGCAACATGCCAGAGGAAGGTGAGCCAGAGATGTGGTTTGATGGAGCCCATCACCGGCACCAGGGCTGCTACCGACCAGCTGCAGCTTCTCCCACCGCCACCGGGACCCTCGGCCAGCTCGGGGGGGGTGTGGGCACCGAGCCCCCCATTTGCCCGGTCACCAGCTCTGCCCCACGGCCCGGGGGTGACCAGCTGCAGCTTCTCCCACTGCCACCGGGACCCTTGGCCAGCTCGGGGGGTGTGGGCACCGAGCCCCCCATTTGCCTGGTCACCAGCTCTGCCCCACGGCCCGGGGGTCTCCATCGCTTACTTGCTACAGTCTCCTCCTTCTTTGGGGAGGGCTCCCGCAACGGCAGCGGCGACGGGGGCGGCTGGTGCCAGCGGCACAAGTACATTTCGGTGGTGGAGAGATAGGGCAGGTCGTCTGTCTCGCTGCTGAAGAAGCCCTTCTCCTTAGGGTGGGCACCGGGACCCTTCGGCGGGGCCGAAGCTCGGAGCGGGGTCTCCAAGAGGGAGCGGGGTTTTTCCGGAGTCTCTTGGCTCCTCAGTTCTCGTTTACAAACAGTTTCGGATAAGGAGCCGCTCGATTCCTCCTTCCCCGGGGAGTGCTTCGGAGTTTTACTCTTCACTTTCGAGAATTCGGACACCAGTTTTTTAACGGGCGTCTTCCTCTCCGCACTCCCGAACGTCGGCTTCCTGCGGGAGGAAGAGGAGTTCAGCCGGGCGTGAGGACCCTCACCCTGCTCCGGGACTCCCGACACCCCCAAACCAGGGCTGCCGCGCCGGGGAGGGATGGAGACAGGTTTCCTGAGCATTTTGGGACCCCCAACTCCTCGCCTGCCCCCCAGGATCGATGGGATGTGCTCCCAGTGACAGGGACAGATGGAGACAGGTTTCCCGAGCATTTTGGGACCCCCCACTCCTTGCCCACCCCCAGGATCAATGGGATGTGCTCCCAGTGCCAAGCAGCCCCTCAGAGCAGCTCCAACGCCAGCCCCACAGATGGAGGGTGAAGCCATAGGGAAGGTGTCCCCCCCCCTCAGCCCCACACAATGCCCCTCCCCAGCCCCCTCTAACCTTTTATGCCCTTTCCCGTTCCTGCCGTAGGGGAAGTGCTTGGGCTGCAGGGTCGGGGGGGGCTCCAACAGGTCCTGGGGACACTCCAGGGGCAGTTTCTCGCACACCTCCGCCTCCGGCTTCTCCTCCACCTCGAAGCCCTGGAAGATGCGGTGCTTCTCCCGCTCGCTGTCCTTCTTCACCAGCTGCACCCGCCTTTCCATGCGCTCGATCCGAGCAAGGAGCTGCAACGCAGGGGCGAGGGGTCACCTCGGGGGTGGGCTTCGGTGGGAGGGGGGGCGCCAGCCCCACAGATGGAGGGTGAAGCCATAGGGAAGGTGTCCCCCCCCCTCAGCCCCACACAATGCCCCTCCCCAGCCCCCTCTAACCTTTTATGCCCTTTCCCGTTCCTGCCGTAGGGGAAGTGCTTGGGCTGCAGGGTCGGGGGGGGCTCCAACAGGTCCTGGGGACACTCCAGGGGCAGTTTCTCGCACACCTCCGCCTCCGGCTTCTCCTCCACCTCGAAGCCCTGGAAGATGCGGTGCTTCTCCCGCTCGCTGTCCTTCTTCACCAGCTGCACCCGCCTTTCCATGCGCTCGATCCGAGCAAGGAGCTGCAACGCAGGGGCGAGGGGTCACCTCGGGGGTGGGGGGAAACCCCCCCTGCACCCCCACTGCGGGCATCTGCCTGCACATCCCTTTGGCAGCCAGGAAACACACCGGGAAGAGCCGACCCCGAGCCATCACGGAGGATTGCCCTGGCACAGGCGGTGTGGGACCGGTGCCACCCGCTGCGGTGCCCCGTGCCCGTCCCCCCAGTGCCCTGGTGATGCTCGGGGTGCAGGAGACCCTAAAACTGTGCCCAAGCTGTCCCCACTCAGCCATCCCCATGGGCTTCCCAGCACACCAGGGGTGCCATGGCTGATGCCCACCCTCGCAGAGGGGTCGGGAGGCCGAGGGCAGGGTCTGTGGGCATCACAGGGTGCTGCACCCCAGAGAGTTTAACGGCAGGGGCCAGAGATGGCCAAAGGGCCCAAAATGGCCCCTTGCTCCCTGGTGGCTTCTCCAGGAAAGCCTCCCTTTCCCCCCAGCTCCTCCAACCCCCCCAGGTTTTGAGGAGAAATTTGGGGGTCCCAGCCTCTGCCGCACCCTCCCTGGGTGCCCCAGTCTGTAATTAGACGTGGGCTTCATTAGAAAGCCAGCACCCCACTGGGTGACACCCGCCCTTGGCCACCCAGTCCCCAGCCCAGCAGCCATTGGAGCTGGGGGGGGGTCGGGGGGTCCTGGCACCCCCTAAGGATGGGGAGAGGGGGGGACCCAGGCTCAGGGAGGGGGGCTCTGGGGGCCAGCCTCCCCCCCCCGCCCGGTGCAGCCAGGGTCGGCCTGGCCGCGGTGCAGCCGCAGTGGCTCCTCCATGTTGGCGGCGGCGCAGGGACGCGGCGGCTGCACCACGTGGGGCGGCTCTTCCCTCCGCAACCGGGGCCACCGCAGCCCCCGGCACTGCGGGCACACCGCCCGGGGGGCAACGCGCCGCAGCCATGGGGCAGCGCAGGCAGGGTATATATGGGGACAATGCACAGCATCCATAGGGTGAGATGTATAGGGGGAAATGCATGGCTTCCATAGGGCAAGATACGTGTAGGGAGCAATGCACGGCATCCACAGGGTAAGGTACATATAGGGGGTAATGCACAGCTTCCATAGGGAGCAATGCATGGCTTCCATAGGGCAACATACATATAGGGAGGAATGCACAGCATCCATAAGGCAAGATACATATAGGGAGCAATGCACAGCATCCATAGGGTGAGATATGTATAGGGGGCAATGCATGGCTTCTGTAGGGCAAGATACATATAGGGGGTAATGCACAGCTTCCATAGGGTAAGGTACATATAGGGGGCAACACACAGCACCCATAGGGCGGTGTAGACAGGGCACACCTAGGGGGCAATTAACGCAGTCTATAGGGCAGCACAGGCAGGGTATATATAAGGGGTAAAGCACAGCATCCATAGGGTAAGGTATATATAGGGGGCAATGCATGGCATCCATAGGGCAAGATACGTATAGGGGGCAATGCATGGCATCCATAGGGCAATTCACATACAGGGGGCAACACACGGCATCCATAGGGCAGTGCAGGCAGCTTATATATAGGGGGCAATCCACGGCAGCCATAGGGCAAGGCACATATAGAGGGCAATGCACAGCGTCCATAGGGCAGTGGGGGGGGCACACAGCACGGGCAATGCCCAGCAATCATGGTGGGGCCCAGCAGGAACCCTGTGTGGCCGTGGTGGGGTCCCCCGACCCCTA